GAGCTGGCTCCTGCTGAAGGCAGTGGCAGATGTGCCCAGGCTGTACGGTTATGGCTGTAAAACAAGCAGGGAGCTCCTCCTGGGAGAAGGAGATTATATTCTCCCTGAGCTGTGGATGTGCAGGAGCTGTGGAAACAGGAGCACGGCTTTGGCCCTGTGAGAGCCTGAGCTCTTTGCAGATTTCCTGCAGCCTTATGCAAGCTTAAGTGGCTTCTTGCTGATTTCACTGCCATCCAGGGGGGAAATAATCACGTTAAAGGGATAGTCTGAATTAAAAATAAAACCCTTTGAGACTGCCTCGYACTCAGGGGCGCTTTGGAGAGGAGCTCTGAGTCAGCTTTGTCTGCTCTCAGGTTGCAGGTGACATCTTTCCCTGGGTCAGGCAGTTCCTGGGGAGTAGCTGGGATGCTGGTGTGGCTATAAATGCAGCTCACAGAGCAGATGTTGGGGGGTTCTGTGTGTGTTTGCTCTGAAAAATCTTACCACAGKGCTTTTTTGGCTGCTGAGTTCTTATGAAATTCTCTCTGGAATATTTAAACACTCTGAAATTTTTGAGTAGTGAGTTAAGAGGTGTATAGGAAAATAAAATGGATTTGCTTGCATCTGTGAATTTATTAATTGTTTGATTGCATTTTGTTTTTGAAATATTTTAGGAGTGATTTTCTTTTCCCAAAYTGAGGTAAGTTTTTCAACAGTGAACTGTTATGCCCACAGACAAGAACAGTTCCCTGTTTCATTAATTTCTGGTAGTGCCATAAAGATCCAAGGCTTCAGTCAACTCCATCATTACAGCTGTGTTTGAGTCCCCTGGTGCTCTGTTGCTGCAATTGATGACATGTTTGTGGAGGTGGAGTGTTGTTAGCAGAATGTTCTTTGAATTTGATGTAAACAAATGGATGTTGTGTAAATATTTTAGAGTAAACTTCCAATGCTGGCACTGATGGATAGCAAGATGCCTTGAATTTAATATGCCTCAGAATCAGAAGAGGCTGTAGTGTGCTCACRTGATAGGGATTAAAAGATGTTAAGTAGTTTTCTGTGTAATGAGATTCTGCTGGAACTCATTTGACTTCTGCCCCCAAACAGAATTACATTACTTTTAAGATTCCTCTTTAATCTGAGGAAGCCAGATAAGATTAGAAATATTAGAAGCAAATTTCCACTAAATTTCAAGTTCCTTCTTTTCTGTCCTGGAGTAGGTGAGGATGTTTGAAGCTGGTGCTTTGGTTTGTGTTCACKTCCAGCTTTTTTTCTGTCCTGTAAATGGTCTCCAGGCCTAAGGCTGAAGCAAACAGGGTTGTAAACAGAACTCTCCTGTGTAGCAGCAGACCTGGGGTTTGGCTTTTGTGTGTGTGTTCACTTCTGGTTTGTTTGGTAGGTTTGGTTTCCTGGTAGGTGCTATTGATAGTTTCTGTTTTGGCCAAACACTGTTTCTTACAGGACTTCTCTCTGAAAATGCTTTTTAATATTGGTTGTCAGGGGCCTAAGTAACGGACGTTGTAAAGTGTGCATCCAGTAGATCAGGAGCAGTGCATTTATTGGCTGCTGAATTTCCAGGTGGTTTAAATTTCTTCCTCATCACATCCCTTAAGGAGAGGGCTGAGTTTGTCTCAGGCTGTAGCACCACTCCCTGCTTGATATAGAGCCTGATTGCTTTTTAGTATTTCATTACAAAAATAAGCCAATATCCCTGAGTTATCTCATGACAATCAGCTACATCCATTTTCTGTGCAAAAGCTGAATTTTCTATCAAGGAGCCATAAAAATGCTGATGGCAAAAATTGCTTGTAACGTTGGAAACACTAGAAATGTTTCAATTGTTTATTGTTGCAGTGTGGGAGAGATGGCTATAATTGTGTCGTGCCTCCAAGTTACTGCAGAGTTGTACCCCCAAGTGTGGTTTCTCTCTCTTCCAAAGCCCAAGGTCTGCCTTGGGAAGCAGTGAAGGACAGCAAACCTCTGCACTGTCAGAATCCATAGAAATGTGCTGGAACCTCAAAACATTCCCAGCTATCCCCACCTTGCCAGGGACAAGCATGAAAAGAAGCATTTGAAAGAAGCTNTTTTCTCTTCACTTTTTGCCCAGCATCTATTTCTCGTGGTAGGAAAATTATCAAAATTATTTTCCTCTGAAAACATTGTCTCCAAACGGAGACACAATTGTAGATTAATTCCTTCTGCAATTGATTTTTAAGGTTTTTTTTTTTTAAGTACCTTGATGTCCATATAGCCCTATTTAATTGCTGCAGAGAATAAGGTCAAAACTGTGCTTCCTCACACTGCTTGTAGGCTTTTCTGGTTAGCTGGGAAGCTGGGGCTGCCCTGATAAAATTATATATGTTGAAGGCTGAAGAAAGAAGATCTGTCAGCACATCCTCAGAAGAATTATTGCTTTCTCTCCAAAAGATGTGCTAGTATCAGTTGTCAGCTAACTGCTCAGCTGAATTTTGCCCTGTGAGTTATTTGCTAAAAGAAAGCTATTTCTTGGGAATTATTAACTTGATAAATCAAACTGCTGCTAATGTAGCTAAGGATACCTTACTGGCATTGAGCGACTGCTTGTCCCACTGTGGTGTGCTCTGATGGCAGGGAAGGGCCTGGAAAGCAATTTTATGGTTTACTCTTMTGCCTGTGTAAATAGCTAATTTATCCTAATGACTGGATGGGACATAATTGGAAGTGAGTTTTYAAGGATGCAATATTCATATTAATTATGAGCGTGAACTGGCCATCAGGAAGACTCTTATCTACTTGATCCTCTTAATGCTGGTAAACATCATTATCTCTTCTAATGAGCTGTGATGGCTGAGCATAGCCCTGTTCAACTCTGCGAGTGTGCTGTGGTTATCTGGTTACCCCAAACCATTTCCCCAGAGAGTTTCCAACAGATTAAAAATGCTTACGGGATTTTCAGAGCTCCTGCACTTCCAAGATGTATTTTTTTTTTTGTTCTCTGTGTAACCTTGGAGAAGTGGCTTTGCTTCTGTGCAGCAGGGCACAGCGAAGGGTCGTGGTTGCAGCCAAAGGTGCCAGGGTGTTGAAATGGCAACAGAACTTTACCACAGGAAACCCTGCAGGCTGCTGCAGCCAGCAAACCTTCCTGTTCCCTGCTGCTCAAAGGATAAGTACAGGGGAGGAAAAAAATGAMATTCAACTCTTAGGACACAGAATGTTTTTACATGGTAGAACTGTTAAACATTTTCATTGAGAGAACAAAAATATTCTGTAGCACACACACAACTTAATCCCTAAAATACTGTTGCAGAGAGAAGATTAGAAGTAGCAGCATATTGTTGGCTGTGTGGAGATGTTTAAATATTTCATACTGTAGCTTTTCAAGTCAGAAGGTAGCCAGTTGTCTCACTGTGACCATATTGCCTTCCACAGCTGGTTCACCTCACTCAGCTTCTGGGTTGTGGTTTGGTGTGAGTGAAAAATATAACTATGGAAAATGCTAGTCATGGTTGAAGCAATTTCATTTTTTTATTAATGCAAGCACATCCAGTCAAACACAGAATATCCTGCTTTATGGTACAGCTTTATATTTAGCAGTTCAGCTCAGAATAGCAAAACACGGTATTTAAGGAATGTATCAAACTTAGGGAGGAAAAATAAGAGGGAACCAATGTAGATACTGCATGGATTTCAAGTATATACTTGGACTGATTGACCGGTGAAGTGCACATTCATGTGAAAGCTCTTTTATACATTTACAGAAAGTATTCTAAAATTGCATTTCAAATATATATTTTTTTTCCTTAAATTTTAAGCATCCCTTTTAATCTTCAATTACATAAACAAAGCTGATATACAATCCCTCGTATAGTGTCTGACAATGTTACTAGCTAGAACATCTCTGAAAGTGCAAAACACTGTAATAATACAGTATAAATATTCTCACTGGAATCCAGGGCTGAAGGCCAGTACTTCAGCACAGGAAAAATAGCAGCAGGTCATAAGAATTATCCCTTCCCTTTTCCTGGGCTGTTCTTGTTAACAGTTAGTATTCTACTTCTTCCTTCCTCATAATGTGATTTTTCTCCTTGATGCCAATGCTATGGGAATAGTGAAATGTTGATTTGTCTCCCTTCCTTACCTCAGCTCAGTCCTGTAATTTTAAGCATTTGTCAAGAGGGAAGTGAAAGAGGGAAAGCTCTTTTTAATTTTGCACTGTACTCCAGGGCCAATRCAGCAAATTTCTGGTAAATGCTTGCAGATGCACCATGGAACAGGGGCACTGCTCTTGGCTGCAGGCACTCAGTGGAATAAACCAGACCCTCAGTCCAGCAGGTCTTGCCCCTTCAACAGAAGGCAGGGTAAGRTAAACACCATCTACCTAGAGCTGGTCATTTCTAAAGAAGTCCTTGCCTTCTGCAAGGCTCTATTAGGGAGGCTGTAACGACTGTCAATTCTAGAGGGACTGTTTTCATTTTTATTTTTTTTTTTATATTTTTTTTTAATAAAAACCCAGTCTATTTATCTGGCTTGAGTTATTATCTTATTATCTTATATTCAGCCCTCAAGCCTTCAGAGAAAAATGACTGGAAAAGACAAGTAGGTGTTTCAGGGTGATAATTTGTTCATTAGACAAAACAGTTCTTCATCTGAGCCAATTTTTTTTTCTTACTTAACTCAGAGATCAGATGAGAAAACCCTAGCTATATTTTTTCCCCCTGGAAATACCTTGAATTTTAATGTTAAGCTCTTCAGGTACTTAGATAGTCGAATTAGGTGTAAACTCAATACTAAAAGGAGAAATTGGAAATSGCAGGCATCAGTGGGTTTGCATATCACCTCTGATTTTGGTACTGACCTGTTCAAAGGTTGGACTAGTTTCTTACAGTGTTTACCATTAGATTTCAGTGGCTTCTGTCACAGACAGTTAATCATGGCTGGCAAAAGGCTAGAAAAGACTTACATTCTCAGTTGGTCTTTGTTCTAAGTGCAGACTAGACTTTGCAAAGGAACCAGTGGAATTAAATGACCAATTGATGAATGCTTTTTAAGCTTCTTTGGAAACTTTAGCCTTAACTTCAAATTGGACATCTAAAGTTACTTCTCTTTCCCTGGTCCATGATGATTTTTTATTTTCCAAAAATTCTTTTAAACAAAGCATTTAAGGGCTGTTTTGCAGAGATAATCATCATCTAGGTTAGACATTTTTCTCTTGAAACAAAACAAAAAAAAAAATGATTCCCTGATTTTTCAAAAGGAAAACACAAACTATTCTGACAGCCAGAATTTAAAGGATAGTTCCCAGAAGTATTAAAACTTAGACATGTGTGCAACAGCACATGTGCACACACACATACTCACACACAAACGCACAGACCCCAGCAGTTACCCCGTCTTACCTCTTTAAATCACGTAACAAAAATAGGTTTGCTGCACCATCAGTGTTACAGGCAGGCATACTCTACCTCATGTGCCATAATTCTCCACTTTATTTAAAAAGTACATTGTAGCTGGTTTCGAGACATCCATATTTTTATTTCCCTTACTTCCAGCCCAGCGTCAGAAGGTACAACTACACAAGCTCAGTACCTTGTAAGGCACTATTTGCTGATGGAGGAGAGGAACAAACACTTGTGAACATCTGTGAACAATTCTGCTGATTTGAAGGAGACCCTTCATTTCCAAGCTAGGGAGACATACTGAGTGTTCTGTAGGATACTGGTCCAATGGTGTGTTTAACCTGAACACTGGCTTCAGTTAGGATGTGTGTTTTAATTTGTATTTATTTTGGTGGAAGTAATAAAAAATAAAAATTTGGATGCTGATAGAATAAGATACCATCTCCCATGATACRTTTCATCTCTGAGAACAGGGCCCTGCCCTTATATTTAAAATAAAAAAACAAAACCCTTCAGTAAGTGCCTTAAGGTTGACATGTGAAATATTTACCACATTTTATTTCATAAAAGTTACTGTATATACAAAACAGACCTCATCCAGTGAGGCCTTTCTTAGCTCAGTCCAWGTCTTTCATTCAGGTTGTAAAAACATGTCCATTAGATGTGCTTCAAAGTCTGCAAATCAGATCCAAAAATCTCAGGCTCTGTTAAGGAGAGTTGTCCTAAAAGATGAAGCAATAAAAAAAAAATTATCTTTTCTATCACAACAAAAAACTCTTCAGATTTGGCAATAGATCTATCTTGCATCATTAGCTGAAAGCCTCTCTTCAAGGGCTGGATTTTCAACTGCTAGAAAGTGGAATAAATCTGTGCATTTCAGTAGAGATGCTGATATGAAATGAGATGCAAATTTAACTTGCATAACATTACCTCAGGCCCTCAGGATGAGCTCAGGCATATTAACATATGTTCCTCAGTCACTCCTCACTGTTCAGCTACTGCATGCTGAACTGTGCTGGAATTAATGCAAGGTGAATTGCACAGGGGTCATGAGTGAAAAGCTCACATGGACATCCTAAGAAGTGTTGGCATCAAAGGGAAACGGTCTTGTCTAGGACAGTGCAGTGCTAATGTACCTTGGCAGAGCTCAGGACAGGCTTCTTTGTTCATTCTCTGGCTGGTACAGATAGGTTAAACCTTAATGCTTAGCATGAATTATAAATCTCTCTGCCTTGGCCTCAGTATTGATTAAAATTCCAATTAATTGATCTCATCATGTACACAGGAGAGGTGCTTCCCATTCTCAGAAGGATGAGGAGTCACGGAGACTTTATYCCTTAGGGTAGGCTGACAATTAGCATATTCCTAGAAATTATCATCCTTTTATAGTATTTATAAGTGTATAGCTACAATGAGAGCACTTTCTTAATATCTCTGTATGTTTGTTCCTCTGAGAAAATAATGTCTGAACACAACTACAAATGTAGATCATTTTACTGTCTTTGACAGCCTAAACAAAGGATATTCCCTTTCATAGTCTCAGTCGTGATCTTGCTGCCTCAACAGATCTGGCTGGAAAAACTGTCTCAAAATCCGAGCCCTGCTGAATTTTTTTTAGATTTAAATTTTGAAAGAAAAAGAACTGTATTATGGTTTGAAGCTGKGTATGCAAACAGGACAGAAGCTGATGGTCACATGCCTCTGTATGTCTGCAGAAAGACACATGTTCTGAGGGAGCATCATACCTGAGTGTTTTCCAGCTGTCTTTTTCCATGTGGTTTTCTGGACCTTCACTTTCAAAGGATGCAATGAACAGAGCTGGTTAAAAAAAAAATCAGATACATGAGTTCTTAACCTGGACAAAAAAATCTAAAGGTTACAATACTGCAGATGTAATTTGGCAGTCTTCATTATGAAACTAATATGGAAGTGATAATACTTAATCACAAATAAAATACGGTTTTGCACATTAATATTTTTCATCTGCATATTTTGTCTGTATTTTAACACAGAAAGACTCACTCTAATGTTCATTAAAGCTTTTTACCTTCTTCACTGTAAATAGGTGCTGTGAGTAGATAGCTCTGGATTTTCTTGTCTTTTTCAAAAGGACATTCAACCTGCTTCCATGTCAGGAAATCATGAATCTGTCTTGAAATTTCCCAGAACTTCTGCATGAAGTAATTAAAAGAGTATTATTAAAATAGTATTTTTCTTTCAMATATTAGTTTATTTCCATTTCAGAGCCTCTCAGTCTTACTCTTCCACCTGCTGCTTCCCTTACTGTCCTTTACTGGGACTCGTWGGCTCCCTGTGGAATTGGTCACAGCCCCCAGCCTGGCAGAGTTCAGGGAGCATTGGGACAATGCTCTCAGGCACAGGGGGTGACTCTCGGGGGTGGTGCTGGACTCAGGAGCTGGATTCAGTGATCCTTGTGGGTCCTTTCCAACTCAGATTATTCTGTGATTCCTTCATATCCTTTCCTCCTCCTGCTCCCTCCATCTCCCTGTCTTGCCAATTCCTCATCTGCTGGCAGCCTCAGGTTTAGACCAGTGAGTCTCTGCTAAACATCTCATCTTTTTGCCTTCAATTTTTTCACCATCAGCCCTTTTTTCATATATAAAAGTGCCTATTTTCTGTGTTTTGTGTCTAAATTAGCCTGTGACTGGAACTGGACTGTAAATAGTTTTTATTTGCTTTACTTTTTACATTTCCAAACTTCAATTCAAATGTGACATATCTTTTTCATAAAGCACTCTTAATTAAATTAAGAAAATAATCAAAATAACAAATAYAAACTTAGATATCCTTTCCTTCCTAGGATTTAAAGAAATGCGTAATAACTTAGGGTTTGTCCTGTGTATTCTGTGGGCTTCTCTCCCCTTACAAGAGCCTTACTAGTGTCAAAAAAATTTTGTCAAGAAGTACTTTGGACAGGCTGTATCTTTTTGGATGTAGATCTTTACTAATTGGGGAGAGAGAACTCCGAAGCTGTAGAACCTCCCTTGCAGATCTGACAAACAGCATTTGCTGGTTGTGTGTAGTGTTTATAGCCAGCCAAACTGATGAGGTGAAACCAGCTAAACTGATGACTCAGGCTGAAGTTCCCTATTAAATTTGATCAGATATCATGGCTTGCTGCCACAGAACAGCAACGGCTGGCTTTCCCAGAAATTTGATTCGATTGATTATCTGGATCATACTGACCCTAAAGGAATTGGTAACACAAAGGAGCCTGAATTCCAAAGCTGGCAAATGATTGCAGGGCACTGGGTTTAGCCAGCAGTACAGGTTCTGTAGCAGCAGAATCTCACCTTGAAGTTGATCTGCCCGTTGGGCAGGCGGTTGGTGTGGATCTTGTGCAGGAAGTAGATGTCTTTGATGAAGAGGTTGAAGACAGGGATGACGATTTTCTCGCGGTTGCTGTTGGCGGTCTGTGAGCGCTGCGCTGCCCCTTGCAGAGCTGTGCGGTAATTGCAGAAGTTGCTGGATGGGTCCATGTGATGCTGTTTTTATAAAGAGGGAAAGGCAGCCAGGTAAATGCGCTTGTGAAAACAAAAAGCTTTGCTCTAACCATCAGAATTCATTCTTCAAAACTTCATTGGGTGGCCCCTTTTTAAACTTCCAAGACAGAATACTTTCATACTAATCAGGTCTGGGTGCAGGTTTTCCTAATGCCTGTTTTGTTTGAAAGGAGGCTACTGGCTTTACACCTATCCCATTAACCACTGAAGCAAAGCAGACTGAAARGAAATCATAAATCATTCTCTGTGGAAAACCCCAAACACCTCTCTTTCTGATGAAGATTTCAAATAGGTTTTGTTTCCACACACATCTCCACTAGGTGGAGTCCTCTAATTAGTTTTAAGGGCAGCATTCATTGGACTGGAAACTACCTTGAAGTTAAATGGGTATAAATACGCTAGGAAGAAATAAYCTAAAGAAAGCTGGCATCCTCTTTTGCTCGCGGGCAAGTAGAGAGTTTGAAATGGAAGAAATGCCCTCATAATGTTCATGTGCTGGTGAGCACTGACAGAGATGTGTCTCTGATCTGTGGCACAGTAATTAGCACAGGTTGAAGATGATTAGATGAAGCTATTTGGTAGATTTTTATATAAAGTCAAAACTTTATACATACCTCTAAAACATCAAATTTGGCCGTTTTGACCTTGGACCAGGTTTTCTTTAACCGTGCCACAGGACTCAAGTTCATGCCAGCTGAATGCAGAGAGAGAGGARACAAAGAAAGAACTGAGTTGAAAAAAAAACACAGGGTTAATATAACTGGTCTTTGGTACCAGCACCACACTTTGTGGAACGTGTTTCAGCTGGACAGTCAGAAGCTGTAGCTAAATCTCACCCACCCACACTTTAATCTGTCACTGGCAGATCCTGTCCCTGAGGAGTGTGCATGCTCATGTGGTCAGCCAGTTTAGGGTGAGGATGAGCACAGTGTTGCCAGTCAGGGTGTAAAAAATGTCAGGCTTCTGTCATCTGTGCAAAGGATACTCACAGATAATAGCCATCATTGAGTTGAAGTTTCCAATGTTGAAGCATTCTCTTGCCACATCAATGAAAAACTCCACCATTCTTGTACGCTGCTTTTTCTTTACAACCTGGGGAAAAAAACACCAAGATGTGCTAAGAGGGAAGGGATGGTTTGAATTTTGGATAGGATATCCAGCCAAAGGCACTGCAACAGGTTCAGTGAATAACGTTTCAAGACTTTGTCTAGCTAAATCTTACAATATAGGCCTCTGAGTATTTTGTAAACGTTAATTTTTAATAAAATAGCAGAAATACTTTGGGGTGAGTACCAATTACTTGTGTAGTTGTGGGGGCGTGCAGGTTTTTGTTTATACAAAAAAATCCATGCGTTAGGCAATTTTGCATAAAGAAGCTGCACGTTTTCAGCAATTTCCTGTTACTGGAAGATAACATGTCACTGCTATCAGGAAGAATATATGCAAAACGTTTAACCTCTCAAGAAGGGGAGAAAGCATTGGGCATATTTAAGATCAGGGGTATAGAACCTAAATGTGAGAGAAAACAATTGCCACATCCTGCTTTTCTTGTTCTGCTGCTTGTACTCCTGAATSACCTGTTCAGAGCAGGTAGTGATGAACAAATATACAAATTCCCACTCATGCAAACCTGCACAGGATGAAGCAGGTGATGCTGAACATCTGTTTTGCACACTCTTGGATAAACAAGGCAAAAATTAATTATTGCCTGGATGGCATTGATTCATGAAAAGGTTTTCCCAGTGTAGACCTACAAGTTCTATCTGGCTTTGCATAAAAATGTCTCCTAAGCAGTGCCTGCAGACTCTCTGACCTAAGTACTTCAGTTCTGTCATATCAAAAGAAAATGGCTCAGTGGAAGGCCTGGCTTAGCTCTCAGTGTGCTATAAACCTTTCTTTGATGGTTTACCAAATGTATGAGCCTACCAGCCAGCTCTGGAAGTGTGTTGGTGTGCCTTTGCAATGAAGTTCTGTGAGCAGGAAATCTTAAGAGATTAGGATCAATGCACTGGCCCATTTTCCAATGAAAATGCAGCAGGCATTGGGATTGCCACAGAAGGGTTACTGACCAAGAAGGAATAGGGAAAAAAAAAACCCCTCCAAAAATTCCATTTGCCAGAAATGGAATTAATAGAAATCTAAGAAGATTAATTAATAAGCTAAAAAGAGAACACACATGCAAAAAAAAAAAAAGTTTTTGGGGCAGTACACCTTCCATTTCTTTGCTTATTATTGGATAGAACTTTCTTTAACCTCAAATAAGGTTATTCTCCCTCTTTTTTGTTTTAACCTTTCCAGTWATATACTTGCTTTTCAACCTTTAAAAAAAGTTTATCCTTGATTTTTCTGCAATGAATATTGTATGAATAGAATGAATGAATATAAATTAAAAAAATGAACACATGACAGTGCTAATGTTATCTAAATGCAGTGGAAGCATGGCTGCTCTTTGGTACATCTGCATTTAAAGATGGGTATTTTTAAGAATCTCTTGATGTATCTAAAAAGAGGTGAATCCAAATGAGCTGCTAACTCAGTYCACACAAGTTCCATTTCACTGCGTGACTAATGCAGCTACACAGAATTASAGAATATATGCAAAGTCAAACATAGCCTTGAACTCTTAATCATAWGAGCATGCAAATAATTTAATGCTTGAATAATGCTATTATCTTTAATTGCACTGCTAATGTTTAAATCTCATTTAGACCACTGCCTGCCTCTTGTCCTTAAGGCCAGGATCCCTTTGCTATCTTGTTTTCTGTGCACACCTACCCGACAAATCTCTGTGGCCACCAGCATGCTGAGACARTTGAACCAATTGTCATAGGCCTCCAAATTATAGGTTTTGGTCACGTCACTTCGGCACTGTAAGAGAACAGGTCACWTGTTAAACCTCTCCTGGATCATGGTAAAGTCCAGGTACTAAAGGTTAAACTTTCTTTTCGTATCTTGATGCAATCTTGTTGCATGTATTTTAAGACATGAGCTTAAAGAAGCTTAGAAAATGTCGGTCAGTCTTGCACACAGGAGTATTATTCTTTAGTTTCTGGTTAGTTATTCTGGTTAGTCCTTGTTTCTTTTTCCCTGTGTACACCTTTTTGTACCTTGTGATTATCCAGGGAGTCCATGTGGCTGACAATCTGCATCAGATCCTCTGGGTAAATGTTGCTCACCCTTTCCTGTGTTTGGAGAGAGGAGAGATTGTCATKGTACAGGCAAACACAGAGTTCCATGAAAAAAATCCAAGTGAGGAGAACATTTTGGTAACTTTATCTTCCTGCTGTGTAGATGTGTAAGGTGCTTTCATCAGTATCTAATTGGTCTTATTCATTCCTTGACCGGGTATTTTTTTATTAAAGCACTGGAGGCTCAGTGAAGCCACAGCAAAATTCGTATTGGTGAGCAGATTAATATTTAGTAAATGGAAAATAGAATACTTTACCCAATCAGTGCCTCACCAGTTCGATGTAGGTCAGCTGCTGTGCCAGGATCAGAGGGTCACAGCACACACTCAGGATGTCCTTTTGAGTTGACTGGGGCTTGGTTTTGAGGATGGTGCCCTTGTCAGTAACGGGCTGCCGGAATTTCTCTCTGATTTCCTGGTATTGGCTCCGTGCAGAGAGGGCCATCAGGAGATTCTGTGTCATCTGGCTAATGATCTTTTTCACTGTTCCATTTTCCTAAGCAAAAGGCAGAAACAACAACTGCTAGAAACCTTTAGCTATTGCAGACATGGMTCACCAGAGAATTTCTGACTGGGAAAAATAAATGCCTGTTACCCATTTTCTTTCACGTTTTCTGAGCTGATCATTCTGTGACAAATGACCTTGTCCTAAATACCCACACAGCTCCATAATGACACTGCTCTGCCTTCCCAGCTCTGCTTCACTTGGCTGGCTGGTCTGCTCCTTTGGGCTGTGCCCCATTTCGAAGGCATTAGTGTGAGCAGCTGGAGTGGGCACAGAKAAAGGTGCTGCAGTTGCTTGCACGAGGCCTCTTGGAACCTCTGTGCACCAAGTGCCAAAAAGCTCTCATTCTGATCACACCCCCTGATGAATCCTTCTGATGTCTAGCCCGAGCACAATCCAGGGAATTCATATTATGTCCAGGAATATACCCCTAAAATATCCTGACTTAGCTTTGAACAGCCACAGCATCCAAATATTTATGTCAGAGCACAATATACATCATGTTCTTGGACAACTAAAATGCCTTTCCTGTTTATCATGTGCGGATTTCAAACATAAGATTTGTATGGATGCATCGAAAGGCAAAGCCACAGGAACGTATCCATCAGCTCAATGTTTTGACAACGAAAGGGATTTTTTTTTTCTGCCATTGTGTCCTATAGACATTTCTCTATGAGATCAGCCCCAAAGAGCTAACTTGTTTGCTTTTCTACTCCTCCATGCTGTCTGTTACTGCTTGAAGTGACCCAGGTTTCTTCTGCTGCTAGGAAAATTAATTCTCTTGCTTTCATGCAAATTGCTTTCCTTGAAGTTAACCACAAGGTTCACTTCTGCCAGTCATTGGGACACGCTAGAAAGAGCTGCAATGAATCTGTGACTGTTCAAAGGAGGTACTAATGTGCAGCGATGACTGAAATTATGTAGCAGATGTGGGAGACGATGACTACCAAATACTTGTATATAGTGTGTTATAATTAAGCAATAATGGTGTCAGAATGGTGCTTTACAAGGCAATAATCTGACTCCCAAGTGAAATCAAATGAAAAGCTGAAGGCAGTGCAGCTCATCTTGAGGCTGGATTACTGCTGAACAGCAGCTGTCTGGAGTCATTTCTGATACTGTGCTACAAGTGTTGAGAACTGCCAAGGGAACTGGTGGAGGGGGCGAAACAAATCCTGAATTCTGCTCTTGGTGTGCTGAGCTTTCCTCTGTAAATGGTTTGTCCTCAGCCCCTATGCCTGACTTGGCCACATGTCTGAAAGGAAGGAAACTTTCTGGATACAGATTGTAGAAAATGAAGATAGGTGAGAGTATTGCAGATATTATGCAAAAGTGAACAAAGAATTTCAGTGACATGAAAAGCTATGGCTTGCTTCAGCTATTATTAATTTATTAGCACCCTAATGCTTAGACATATGTCCTTAAGAGTTTTAGCAGTTGCCTTTCACACCTAGTATTACCCTAATTTTCCCTTCAACTTTGGAAAGTAAGCAATGACTGCACAATGAATTGTACTTGTTTGAATTCGTTTTCACTGACTTTGGGGTGCAATCCTGGCTGTAGCTTTAGCTATTTGGTATTCTGTCTGATCTCACTGGGTCAATACCTGATTTCCTACCTTATGTATGAAGTATAATCCCCCCCAAAGGGGATTTGGAAAAGCTTTAAAATACAAAGTAAACCCTCAGCCTTTACCTTAACTCCACACTAAATGATRGTATGTGGGTAATTTGATGTGGTAACAAAAACTTGGAGCAAGAGCTGCTTTTTGTCAGTGTCAAATGAGTATTTCCTGGGGGTCAGACGGGGCATAGCTCTCATTGGTGAAACCTGACTGGTGGCCTTGTTAAGGGGATAAATTGGATGGTGCTGTAATTAATGGATTAATAGATGCCTCAGACACCACAGCACTGAGCCATCCCATGAAGTTTTTCTCAAACGACAATTATTCATACATCAGAGTGGGAGGGAAGGGGACATGCAAGACAGAAAGGGCACAACTTTTTTCTAGTTCAGCATAACAGACAAATTAAATACTAAGATACAGACACTAAATAAAGTTTCTGCCAAGTCCCCTTTCCCTGTGCTATCTCTGCCCACATACACCCCTTAGCTGTTGTCTGTGGAGAATAGAAGGCACTTGGAGTCCTATTTCCTCTTCTCCTCCTAGTGAGGCACTGCCATTCTCACGCAGCACCCACACAAACATCTCTGCTGATGCAACCAGACCCACCAACTTCCTCCTGAAGGTAACACCTCAYGCTATTGTCCTACCCCTGATTCATGCCATGCTGTCAAACCTGTTGTTCTTCATTTTCTYTGTACTTAAATCAACAAAAACACATAATGCAACTGTCTTCCCAGTTCCTCCTAATTGTTCTCAAAAATACCTTGAAGTTGTGGGTTTAAAAACAAAGAGAAGCTTCTACTTTTATATAAGTAAGACTTCAAATTCCTRCAAACACTTTACAACTAATTCTCTTGCAGTTCTTGATTGTACTCTTCCTTGTCTGGGGGTTGTTAACAGTGACTTTTTCAATGAACAAAAAGTGTAGTTTTAGAGTGTTGGAAAACCAAAACAAACAAACAACCCCAACACACYCCCTCCCCCGGCTCCCTTGCTCTACCCCAAAAACTAACAGCCCTTGTTTTATTCCAATTCACTTTACCTGGTTGGTTTACAAGTCTTTTTCAAGGCCTAGTTTTCACAGGGTGGAAACTCAGAGCTGTTGAGACTGGAGGTGGACTAGCTAACAGGCTCAAAGRTAACTTGCTTTGTGGAAATACTGTGCCTCTCACCCAAAATATGGCAATAAACCACCTGCTTCTTAATGTCAGAAGCTGGGAATGAGCTACTGAATAATAAAAAACTTCATCTYGGCCAAGAGTTCATTTCATACAACCAGTCAGTAAGTCCTGCAGAACTTAGACATCCAGAGTAGTAACAATGTACAAAGAATGGTGTGTAATTCATTATTAAATCATCTGAGCCATTTTTATAGTTACTGTTCTTTCTCCTTCTGCACCACAGTCATTTTTCATATTGTCATGACTATTTTGTCTCTTCCTACACGTGGTGATTAAGTATAGACAGTTTCTGCTAATGGACCATTAAATCCATCAGGCAGCCCWTGTCCTGTGGTTACCCTGACAGCTCAGCAACTGCTGCTGTAGTTCATTTGGAAAATAAAAATACTGCCTGCAGAATTRTACAGAATATGGCACAGTTCATGTAGCAGTTGACAAATACGGCTTTAGCACTTCCCCCCCACCCCTACCTCATCACATTGTGTGATCCTGTGAGCAATCTCCTTCAACTCTTTCATGGATTTTTCATCTTGGAAATCATAGGGGAAAGTTTCAGTCCATTCCTTCAGGAGCTGAATGATTTTGGCAGYGAAGGATTTTAGTTTTGCCTAGAAAGAAACAGTGAGTTGATTACTGACTGCAGATCAAATTAGATGATAAAGGTTCACAGAAACCCTGAGACACCCTTGAAAACACTTTGCATTAATAGTAGGTGATGGGAACAAAAAAAAAAGAACAAATTTAACTGTGAGCTAGATTCCTAAATAGTATCATTTAGCCTCCTTTTGTGATAGCTTGGTAATGTCTCTTACCAAACAGTTAGAAGGTATTTTCAAGGTTAGTTGTATAAAACCAGGAAGATGACAGAACAGTTCAAGTGACTTACTTAACTGAAGTCCATGGGGTTTAAGCTCTGAGGCAGCAGTACCTTAGTGTTTCAATCCAAACTGCAGCACCCTACCAACCGTCCTCCATGAGAATTGTTCACAAAGACATTTCTACAGAATTTATCTGACCGCCCAGACTGAGCTGTATGTTAAATAAATGAATGACAGGAAAGTCATGTGTGTTCTCTCCATGAAGTCTAAATCAAAACAGACTTTGAAAATAAAAAGTATTGGCTTTTGCTCAAAAAGCTATCAACCACAGAAAGGGCAGGGTGAGGGTTTTTCTAATTTTTGTTTTGTTACCTGTGAATCTTCCAAAGCTTTTMATCAGTTAGACCTGAATTGGATGCCAATTATTGCACTCTCCATTTTATCAATGGACAGCAGCATCAGTGCATCCAAGGGAGCACTCTTGCAAAATTGAGAGTATGAGGGCTGAGAGCACTTCTAATGAATGAGAAGAATCAAACCTTAATTCAGGTTCTATTTACCCTCCTGCCCAACTTGTGGTGCACTGAGGAGAAAGAGGAAGCTTTCCTTGGTGGAAGTGCAGAAGTCCCCCCAGGCACAGCACAGCCCTTCCCTCCTCAGGGGCAGGAGGGCACTGAGCATGTGAGAGTCACTACAGGAAACTGCTGCAAGACAAATAATCTCTTCCCAATACTGGCAGAACYTCCTGCCAAAACATCATCTCACCGTGGCATGTCCCAGTTTATTTAATCAAAACCAAAGGTCAACTAGATTAAGCTGGTYTTGCTGTATATATTTTTTTTTTTACATCTCACTGTGACATAGTGAGAATATTAGTAATTATTGATAAGAACGCTGAAGTTAAGCCATGCACCCTTGAATCCTCAATCTGACAATAAGGCAGTGTTCCTTGTAAGTCTAGAGGGAATTTTCTTAGGTTTTTAATTTTTTTTTTTKSCYTTTTTTTAAGACCTGCAAACTGCCATCTGCTAGCATGCATTTCCTACCTGTTTTCATTGCCTGCATTTCATTGATGCTGCTACTGAGAGAAACACAGAATAGCTGGATAAGAAGGGCAAAAATAAAACATGACCATTCTTTCTGCCAGCAACGTCTGTCAATGCCCCTCATGTGGTGCTTTAAGGTTTTTCTTAGCAGTGTGAGACAGAGTTCCAGGTTATAGCTGTCTGTCCTCCAACCTCCCACTGTCACCTGCCTTGGTGAAAAGTCCATTTATACTTATTTGCTAGGAAAGACATGGAGCCTGACATTATTAAAGGCACAATCTGTAGGTGGTTATAGACAATTAATTAGCCACTTCCATTCAATTAAAGTTAACAGGCATGTGCCTACTCCACTTCTGTTTACCAACAGCTGCTACAGAACTGTTTTTTAGTATTAMTCATCCTGACTATCCTTTCTTTTTACTTTTTGGGACTGAAAAAGGAGRGGTCAGGGCAGAAAGGTTTCAAAATTCTACCTTAGGCCATGGCAAGCATCTCCATATGAACACATAGTTCATAAAGAATTTACGGGCTGTCTAGACTGACCCCAGCAGCAGATGAGCAGCTGTTTTTTTAAGAGCTGATGCTTTTTTAATGTGTGCTGGTGTGTTGAAGGTTGTTCCTCAAAGACCAGGAGCCCACTGAGGGCTGTCATGGTTTGAAGCAGGTGCAGTGTAATACCAGGCTGGATATTTCATCAATTTTTTTAAGGCATGATGTAGAAGGAAGAGGTTCGAAGGAGAAAAATAAAGCTTTGTGCCTCACTTGTAATACTTTGCTAAATTATCCCAAATTATACTCCATGTAGAACTTAAAATACAGTAGTTTTTGAGCATGGACTTGTCTCTCTTCTATCTACTCTCGAGTTGTCTGGTTTGGCTCCTTCTGTGGAAAGTCAGGCATGTTGCAGGGCAAACTGTATCACTCTTCAGGTTTAAAAAAGCTTAATGTTACACCACATGCTTTGTAACACTCATGGAAATAAGGTGTACACTTCCTGAGAACAATGCTAAAAGACCTTAGTGCAGCAGAACATGGTATTTGTATTTCATRTTGCCCTCTGAGGAAGCCCAAAGGAGCGTGACAGGCTCGATGCATGTGGTAACCCAGATGGAAATCCCACAGATCTGTGGGCAGCAGCACAGCTTCCTTTCTGTTGTGGCTGTGATAAACCCACCAACCTACTTTTCTGCAGTCTTACTCCAGACATGAGCCTCCCCTGGTGAGGCCTGACAGAGTTCTCTGGAGTCCATGGGGAATACTTTTCCCGTAAATATTTCTTTGAGAAGAGAAATAATTCTGTTCATCTAAGTGCTGTGGAKTGACCCTGTTATGCATGAGACAAGACAGGACTGAAAAACAACTCCCAATTAGAAAGGAGGGCAATAGCACTACTGTGCTTGTACGAAAGATTTAATGGCAATGACCTGGTTATGAGTATTTTTTAATTTTTGGGTTAAAAAAGGAGCACTGGCAAGAAAACCCAGGGGAAATAGTAATTTTTGAAGGCACTAATATATTCCAAGACAGGCAAAACGAACCTAATTGAAACTAACTTCTACTTTCTTTTTTTCTTACCTCTTTAGATGTACAAAATACTCTCAAACTGCAGAAAAAAATGCACCACAGTTTTAACAACAGGTTTTTTTTTCTATTTGATAATGCTGTATGAGTGATTTTTCCCTGATAATCTCGCTTGAGACTTTCCAATCTCTAATGCACTTAATGGAGAGTTAAATTCTTTCCTTTATGGAAAGGAAAACCTTGACAGCCTAACTACTGACTCATATATTATAATTGRTGCCTTAAACTGTGAAGTTCTTCCTTTTTATGAGTAGTTAAAAGGACTCTAAGCAGGCTCCAAGACACCCCAGAGTGTTTTTCTTTTCAATYCACTTTTCTCTGGGTTGTATTTCTGTAGAACWCTTTGGYTAGCCAGTAATGTCAAAACCAACARAAYGATAAATATTGTGGAGTGTAACCTCAGAACCTGATTTCTTGCCACTTTTTCAGCTCACATGCTCTCCAGGCTTGTCTGAAGAGACTTGCATAAACAAACTCTATCAGAAACGATCAGAGATGCTTTAACTGCTTTTGTCAGCTATTTCCTGCTATGCAGCCACTTAATTAGAAGGTGCTGGGAGCTGATGATACCTTAATGGATTATGACTGTGAATACTTAAGAGTGTCTTGAGTCAAGAGTTTGTATGYTGTGTGTGAAATGAGATTTTTATTTGTTGCCACACAGAAAAACAAATGTTTGCAAATGCTAGTGGCCAAACTTCTCTGTAAAATGTATAGGTGCTTGCAGTAGAGGGCAGTAAAGTAGTAATTTGGGACAAAGGTCAGAAGTTTAGGTAGTGTTTTCCAAGAAGTTTGTGTTTAGAAGGCAGGAAAAAAATTACAGCTTGTATTAAGGAGGTAGGAAGGGATCAAGGACATCGTAGAAAGAGCAACCAGAAAAGCATGTAAATTAAAGCCACCTCCCAAAAATGTTGTATTGTCACCCTGTGCTTGCTGGTTTTCCTGTAGGCCCATTTCCATACCAGCAGAAGGTGTAAGCGTGTTTGGAATATAAGCTGCTCTGTCTAATATCCTGCTGCTAGCATGTAATKCTGTTTCATTTCTGCTAGGAGGCCATGATTATTTAACACATCTGTGGAGAAGCCACACTTCTTTAAAATTAGTATTGTATCTCTAAATAGCCAGCTGAGGTAGCCCATAGAGACTGCTTTCATATGAAAATCTCTGAAGTGCATTGTTAATCACAGAGGTTTTATCTTACATCCATTYATTTTAAATCCAGGTATTTTCAGATGTGTTTGAACACTTTTTATTCACAGCAGTCTTTCCCTTTTTATGTCCACAGCTCAGATTGACTCATTCCATATTTCAGATGGTCTGAAATATGGAATCTTTTAGTGGCTCCCATCTCTGTTTAGTTCTGTGTTGCTGAGGAACCATCACAACTTCCAGAGCAGAGTTTGCTCAGGCACAAATGAAATTTGGCAGTGGTGCTGAGGACAATTATCACCTCTGAGTACAAAACTGGATGCAGTGGTTCTGCTACCTTCTTTGCCTAACCCCTTGGTTTCCCTAGCACCTACAGGAGGAGTATGCAGATATTTGGAGGGTAGATCAGGGGGCTGACCTGGATGAAAGTCCTTCTGCACCATAGTTTGTTTGTCCTGTGGGACAATTTTGTGACATTAATAAGAGGCTGCACATCAGGAATAGATGAGAGAAAGAAGCCCTTAGGTCAGTATTGCTGACACAAACTCTTTACTGACAAACCAGAGTTGCCTTTTGTGCTCCTCACAGTGCTGATATAGCAAGGGAAGAAACAAAATGGGACTATTAACGTGCTGGAGATTAGGAATGTGAGCATGTAATTTGTATTTCAGAGAAGAAAGGTTCCAAAACATGCCCAGGATTTGCACCATTTACGTTTTTAAATACTTGTTGATACCATCCTGTTTCTGTCACTCTTATTTGCTTCCCAGCTTGGACCCTTCTGGAAGTTCAATTTCAGTCAAAAATTCTTCAGTGCAAATGGTGACATTTGGGTGTAAGTTTGGTTTAACTGGTTGTAGTAAAACATGTTAGYGTAGGTTACTATTTTAAATAAGTGCTTCTCTCAATTTTTGTGAGGGGTGACTTTCTTATTTACTGTTACACAGACTTAAACCATCCCAACAATATCCTACAGCAGAAGTTATTGTTTTCTCCAGTCAGACTCTATTGGAGTTAAGTCAGATTCAAGAAAAAGCTATTTGGGGAAAGCTCTCAAGTGCCAAGCAGCTTGCTGGGCAGGCTTCCTGGCAGATACACATTGCTCCAGTGCACAGCACTGACCTGCAGCTGACTGCTAAGGTGGGACATCAAATGAAAGAAAGGTACTTCCAGAAAAAAGACCCAAATAATTGTGCATCTGGCAAAAAAATGCCAATTACAATTTCCTTTTATTGTTTATCAGTCTATTTAGCTTTTCACTGAAAGGARAGTGGAAAATAAATCACAGTAGCACAACTAACTGAGGGACATAATGGTRCATTTACCTTTTCTGCCTCAGTCCCCGTTTCCAGCTGCTGCTTCTGCTTAATGCAGATCTGCCCCACTTTAGCCAAGAGCTCGTGTGGGTGAATGAAGACTCGTGAGCTCAGTAGGAAAGTGAAGATGTAAGTTCTCTGTGGAAAGAGAAAAAACACAAAACAAGTTGAAAAACTTCAGGAAAACTAATCTGTCTTCCTGGTAAAAGCTGTTCTGTAAAGTACAAATGTAACTTTCCTTCATTTAAGTTGCTATAATTTTTCTTTTCTCCAGAAAAATGTGTTGGTCTTTTCTAGCTCTGTTGGAAGGAAAAAGCTATAGGCTTGGTGGCTGTTAACTGTGGGGTTTTCCAATAATCAAATTATTTCCTTTTAAAATGCCAAACTCAGTGTGCCTAATTAGTCATCGCTTACCAGAACCACAAATGAAATATGTCTAATGTAGGGTGTTAAACTGGTGTCTTAAACATCAGTTGAATGCTGCTTTGTTTCTGTAAGAGTGATAGTTTTTCACTGAGCTGCAGGCAACTGCATCATGTGCATTCCAAACCACAGCTGCAATTTCTTCATGCATGAGGGTTTTTGTCCCTTTTTCCCAACAATCACTGATAAAAGTTTTCACTTAGGTTGGGGGGGCTCTGACAATAATTTGGTTTTAAGCCTGACTTTACTTATTTGGGGCTTGTTTCAGAGTCTGAGTATGAACAATGCTAATAAATACCAACAATGATGATGTCTCATTAGAAATAACCTCTCCATTTGTATTTTAGAAGCTGTGATGCTTCATGGGGTACTTTGGMTGTGTATCCACTGTATCATATTCTGGATAGTTGAACTGGAGTGGGGATGCTTTTGGGTCCTAGTCTTAGTCCAGTGTTTGAAACCAGGCTTCTGTASTGGACTGTAATTGCCTGACTAATGACAGTACCATCTCATGAGTATTTCCATTTTTCCCTTAGGCTTTTTGACAAAATTTGGAGTTGGGAAATTATAGGGGATCTCCTTGGCAATGTATTTCAATTAACCTTGGTTATGTTTGAAATGTGCACTGTTACTTTGACCATGTTTTAGTAATGTGGGTTCGCAGGACACAGCCAAGTGCATTTAAATACTCAGTGTGAGTACACACTACCTYGGATGGGGCAAGTGAATTTAGACAGCTGAAATCTTAGGACCAGTTGTCTACAWTGTGGTATTTCTACTATCAGCTACCAAATTCTGTTCCTTGAAGTCTCTAAAAAACACTTGTATTTAAACAAGAATGGTATCTTCCTGAGCCAAAGATGTTATGGGGTTTCTCTCTCTAATCTCAATAAAATGTGCTATTACTGAAAAATGTTTTCACTTCTCTAGTACTTAGTGTGCTGTGTAATACAAACTTAGCACTAACTACCAAATATCAGGGAAAAAGGAATTTCTTTTTTTAAAACAAAATAAAATAGTACTAACTACAAGTCTCAGTCTTCTGGGAGTGAGTGAAAAGTATAATAGRTTAAACATATGTCTAAACATACCATTGTGTCCTGAGCTTCTGGAGGAGAATAATGAAAGTACAGAGTGAAGTGTGGTATGGCAGAGGCATTTAAAATACTCTGATTTGAAGATCTGGGGTTCACGTATTAAATTAGGAATAGGAGTTCATGTATTAAATTAGAAATAGCATTAATTCTGTACAATCAGAACTAGAGTTCAGCCACAGCCTTTGCCTTTTTTGTTGCTTATGAATGGAGGAAGAGAAGGGCTAACTGGATGTGGGTCAGGTTCCTGGGTGCTKCCACTGATGCCCACAGAAGATGGACCGTGGGGCCATCTGACAATCAARATCTTGGCTGACTGAGCAGGTGGGCAGTGCCAGGACACTGATAGCCATGTCTTCCTCCTTGATGGCACAGTGGCAAACATCCCCCTCAAATGTACAGCTGGAAATTTAAGAATTTAAGCTTCTGTTTGATATTTCATGTCTCTCCAGAATTTCAGAAGTTTGTATTTTACATTTATGGTGACAAAAACTTGAAGTTCATAAATTCTATAAAAACCTATGGTAGTGGATGTGATGTGTTATGGGCACTAAAATTAGGCTGAAAAGCTGACCTGATTCAGAAAAGGGGGCTTGGTTGTGTTATGGGACAAGGTATCAGGTCTTCTGCTCTTGTGCGTATGAGGATAGTTCCTAAACTGACACATTCCCCACTCAGAATGAAAGCAGCAGAAGGAATTGTGTTGGGTTGTGAGATTTGGGGTGGGGGTTGTGTGTTTAACCTATAACTATGCCTAGTGATCCTCTGTTATATTTTGTATCTATCTTATGTGTTCATTGTTGTCATTGTTGTCCCTGAGCTTAAAGCTGTGAGTCTGGACTGTGTGGAACAGGAATTTAGCTGTTGGGTGTGTTAGCTGTCACTGGGTTGTGTGAAAATTTTTGCACTGAAGACTTGAAGCAACCCTCACTTTTACTGTATTTTGYATTTAAGAGATGAGATGGGTGGGGAGAAAAAGGACTTGACACTTTGATCCCTTCCCCACATTCTTGTTTTGGGAGTTTAGAGGCCTGTCTGAAACATTTCTGTATGTGCAAGCAGCAAGGAACCACAGCTTAAGGCAYGCTGCCCTGGCAGTGACCTTTGCTCTGATAAGCTGGAGCACATTCTTTTCAGCAAAGATGTAATTTTGCTTCTCATGATAATTCTAGCRTTGGTCTCCTTGGTGGGAGCTTGTGTGTGATGTGGCACCGTGTTCATCCAGAGGGACTCTGAGAAAGGGCCACTCACAGCATTGTTTCCCTGCTGTCACACAGCAAGGAAAGCATGACACAGATGACCAGTGCTTTTATTTGCTTWCTTTGATAATGTTCATAAAAGTTTGGAACTAGCAGGATGCAGGCCATGGCAGTGTGTACTTTCCATTTAAGGCTTGCTGATGTGTCTCTGTAATCACTGTATAGCTGAACTGAACCCATGCAATGCTTTCTCAGACAGCACTGTTCTTTCAGGTTTTAAAAACAAATTATTATTCCTTCTGGAATCCATCTGCTGTGTTTTTATTCAATTTTTTAAAGTCGCTTAACTGGTACTAAGGTTAGATTTGTTACTTTGGAAAACAAAATTGTTCCATTGTGGTCAATCAATTATACTATACTGGTATCTAATTTAGGGGTTTTTTGMTACTTTTATTACTGACACAGACAAGGACTCCAATTAAGAGCCAAATTAAAAATGACAGCAGTAGTGACCCCCTCATCTCCTTGCCTCTCTGCTGGTAGCCATTCCTTATCCAGTAAATTCCAGATTGGACTAAGCCATGCTTCTGAGCTTACTGGTAGGACTCAGGGGCTAGGAACCCAGTTGTTTTGGATAGCAAAGATTTCATACTGATGTCATRTGCCTTATCTAGATCAAGAATTTAGGTGATTTTTTTTTGTATCTGCATGACTGTACACATACAGGCTAAATGTTATCACAGTGTAAAGAAAAATAAATAGTCTCTGAGGCAGCCCTCTAGCCATGAAGAGGATGGTTTGGAGAAGGACACTTAGCTCTGAAGCTAGCTGRTTTGTTGAAGAATGATTTAAAAATGCTTCCACAAGCTATAAGAGTGAAAGTTAAGCTCCGGTTATCCTGAAAGTGACAGGTATTTGGGAGGAGAGGCAAAAAAAAAAAGTCCTTTCTGCACTTTGAAGAACATAAGTTGACACAAAAGGGGCTTGTGCTTTGCAAGAGAATAAGAAGCCAGATTCCTTTAGTGCCTAAAGTTGTTGCTAAGGGATGAGCTGAATTATATTTAAAAAAAAAAAAGACAGAGCACAAGTGCACAAGACTAAAGAAGGAATTGTTACTCTCTGACCCAAGAATGCACTGATGACTTTTCGAGGAGGTGGAAAAAAAGAAAATTTCTCTGTGTGCTCTCGCTGCTCATTCTGGAACTTTGTGAAACATTTTCTTCACATATTTTCTTGCTTGGGCACAAGGGTTGCAGACTGGTACATTCCATTCCTAACCTCCTGAACTCCTCTGTCTCATGAGTATACATTTTTCTATGTGCTGAGCAAGTCCCYGTACACAAACAAGACTCAAAAGAGCAGCACACAAATGTAGGCGCTTATCTTTTCTGTCCTCCTTTGCCTGTCTTGTGTTCTGCCAACATGGCAAATACATTTTTGTTTTGCCTCTGTAACCAGCACAGAAAGATACCCTGTGTTTGTTTTCTCCCCCGCTCCCTTTTTCCTGTCCAGAAGGTTACTGTGATCATAAGCTCCATGCACACAGGCGGCAAAGCCTTGTGAGCATTGTGCTCRGATGTAGTCATCACAAAACTTGGAGCAGTACTGCAACTTAGAGCTGTGTAACTCTGAAACCAAGGTAGCCTCTGCTGCTGTTACCAAATAGCTTCTCTTGGGAGAATTAATTGGTGGGATCTTGCTGCCTTTCCTTGCATGAGCAGCAGACCCACGAGACTGAGAGGTGTTGATACTTTTCTCTTGAAAATCCAGGTACTCTTCTGACAGGGTATCAGCCTGAAAGGCTATCACWAACCCTCTGTGTCAACTCCCCTAAAATCACAAATGAGCATGAAATGAAGTGATAACATGTAACTGAAGTGAAGTAGAAAACCTGCGTTTGAAGATGACTGGACATACAGCTCCTTCTTCATGTTGTTCAGAGCTTATTTATCTAGTCACTTTATAATTAATCCTTTCAGTTAAATTGGGGAGTCTGGTTTAACTAAGGGTATGTGTTGTGCTGTGCAGGAGATGAATTTGGTTTACTGCTGTTGTCCATCTCTCTTTCCCTGGAGTTGCCTCTGAGTGCTCCTGTTGGATGTTGAGCAGTGAGCTTGCAGGGTGGGGTCTGTGACTGCTYGGTTTGTAATGCACTCTTGCGTGGGATATGAAGGGATAGCACCATGGAAACCAGCAGCATTCCAAGTAAGCTGCAGACCCCTGAAGTAATACTCACTTCATGGAAACATTTTCAGAGTAGCTGTGTTATAAATAGATCTTATGCTACAAGGTACAATATGGGACATGTATTAGCAGCTACTTAAAAAACAGCTGCAGTCCAAATAACAAGTAACCATATTTCAGTATCACATGAAAAAGAAGGAACTGAYTCCTCAGAGCAGCCTAAAGCTATTCCACACCAGCTCTATCCACTGCTCCCTTCTGTGCATCTGCTCTACAATAGGTTTTTGGGGAGTGGGATGGAGAATTTAATGTCTAACAATGGTTAGGTTATCCCTCCGAGTCTTGTAAAGGATTTGGTACTGGCAGCACAACCGTAAGTTGGGCATTTTGAAATATAAGGTTTAGGATCACTTTTGAACCAGAATAGTAAACCATGCTGGTTTTGCTCTTTTAATCCTATACTGGTGATWGATGGCAATTCTGCTCCATATTCCCATCATCCCACATGGAGAGTGGATGATCATGGTGAGGATGTGTGTGTATACGTGGGAGCTTGGAGGGACTTTACTGGGATTTAAATGAGACCACAATTAAACATTCTACACAAATTAGACTGAGAAACATATAAGATATAGCCCATGAAAACAAACATTATGTTTGACATACATGTTAACAGTGACTGCAGTTTCTGCTTCCTTGTTAGTTTTTATGAAGTGCTGGTATATTTCTGTCACAGCTMCTGATTTTTCAGAGCTCAAATAGAATATATGTTATATAGCCTTTCTGATCTTTGGTCATTTGTTTCAATAKTATCTTTTGTTAATTACAAGGAGTAATTTTTAGTGAAAAAGTGATACCTTAGTAATATCCTAGGTTCAGATTTTACTGCATATCCTACAGCTATGAGTAATATTCACTTTGAGGACTGTGTTGAGGATGTTCAACCAGTTGCAAAATCTGGCAGWTTTTCAGACTCAAGAACATTCATTATTACAGAATTGTCCTATTAACATGTCTTGAGAAAGAGGATATTTTAATTAAAATCTATTTTGGGTTGTGGATTTTTTTTCTGATGGCCTAACTAGGATATGCATACAAAATTAAGGGGAAAAAATAGTAGAGCTGTTTTCAGGTCTGCTTCCATAGGTAGGAATTGGTTAGTAGTTAATCTTGGCTGCATTAGAGCTAAAGCAGCTTAGTAGTATGAAAATTCWGTGGCTAATAATGCTTTTAATTGGTTCTTAAGGTACCCATTTGAGTTCAAGATGGCTTTATCTTGCTAACAAGTGCTCTCATTTAAAAAACAGGGAATATCCCTATTGAGCAACATCTTTAGTGAATGAATATTGCAAGTAAAATAAATGCACYTTTAGCCTACTTCTCAATCTTGGTAGAATTTCATGAGAGAGCAGCAATACAGACACTAATGCAGTAAAACTATGGGAAGGAAAAAGAAAAAACCCTTTCAGTGGCTACTTACATCAGGGTAATAGTCCATGGTGGGCACCAGGCGCTCTATCAAGGCCTCCAGTGATCCAGAAATAAGGTTCCCATCCTGATAAACAGGGTCCACACATCTCTCTCCCATGTCTGGCTGCACTTGCCCACTACAACTGGAACCAAGCATGCTGGAAAATATTGGCGTCTGGGGCATAGTTTCCTGCAGAAGCGACAAAGAAMGGGAGAGAGGGTTAAGCTTTCTTGCAGGATGTGTGGGTTTTACAGAGGCATACATTAAACACAATTACATATCTGACTGAAGGCAGCCTCAGCATTCAAGCTGAGTTCTGAATCCAAGCAGTYACACATCTGCAAGCTGGCTTGGCATCTGAAATGCACTTTATGTYTCTAAGGCTGCAGATGCACAAGCTGTAAGAATTTTCCTCACTGCACTCGATTTCTTCCTTCTCCCCAGGTTTTCCCTGGTTCTTTATGCATGAAACTAGACAGAGGTGAAAATACAGAATGCTTTCTGAATTTACAAGCTACTGAACAAACAAATACTGAGCCTTAACGTTCCTCTTTTTACTCTCTCAGATCAGATCTTTGGCCAAAACACTTCACTTGTGATGATAAATCCTTCACCACTTTTGTAGTTAGATGTAATCCAGTTCTCAGCACAAGTGCATCTTCTGCTCATAGATATCACTAGAAACAGTGGGGGATATCCTGTCTGAACAAAACTGCCTTTTAAAAAAATTTATTTTACATGTATGTGAAACCATGAGCTGGGTGGAACTGTGGCATATGCTGTAATATACAAGCCTAATTTAAACAGTCTCTTTRGAGATCTATGTTTAGGAAGCAAACCTATTGTTGCAATACAAAAACTACACGAAGGTTTGGGGTTTGCATCTCCCATCCCTTGGCCACATCKGCATCACTCTACCGCAGTCTTTCAGGAAACTGTAGGGGGTCTTTTGTTTGTTTGTTTAAAACTGGCTACAGCTTAAATCTATGCAAAGGCTAAACAAAACATCCTGCTACTTTATGTAAAGGTTGAAAATACTCTTCAGCATCAAAACAGTTCCCCCTGGCTGCTGAAATAGTCAAGACTGTTTAGGAGATCAAGTGAAAAGAAGGCAGCGTTAACTCTTGAGCTGCTGTCCCACTGTCTCGGAAAGAGACAAGATATTGACGTAGATGAAAAGCACTTATGTAGATGAAAAGGATTAGGCCATTACCGGTACCTTTAACCTGACAGCTGTTTCTAACTGCGTTCATCTCTTGCACTTAAGTCCCTGAGCTATTTTTTAATGCAAGGCACATTTTTCCYCTCAAACTCTCCAAAGTCAATCATTCATGTTTACAACTGGAATACAGAACATTTTTCTCTTCTTGAGCTCAGATGAATGCTAGGTACATTGTAAGGAAAAAAATACCAGTATTAACAGAACTTCTTTATCAAGGTGACAGATTTACTTATGTGTGAAGCTGATAAGTATAACTGTTTCTGCAGCTTTTACCAAAAGCTCTTTGCATACATATGTGATAGAGATATAAGGGAAGTGTGGTTCTCTGTAAGTTAAAATATAGCAGCTTAATATAGCTGTTTAATAGCAACCAGGGAGACCACAGTGAGGAGTGGAGTTCAGTTTCAGAACTCCAGGACATAGAGTCAAATAAAATAGAAAATATAGGATGTAATGTCGTATAAAGAAAAAAAAAAAAGAAAAATTACAGTAAGGACATTGAGGTTACTCGGTATTTCACACATTTATCTGTGAAAAGGCCCCAGCTTTGCAATACACAACACTCTGAGAAACCACTAGAGCATACGCTGAAGCTGACGGCTTTACTATCTGTACTATGTAACTCGCCAGTAATTTGCTTTTTTCCCTTTTAAGGTCCATAGCGATACAGCCCGGAGCTGCTTGCAGGATGGTCTGGCTGTGCTGAGCACTTTTGGCTAACAGCGTGAAGTTGCGCAGGGCTTTTAAAGAAAGCTAGCCATCMAACAAATCCCCACTGAAACGATGCTTTAGCGGGAAACGCGCCCCGCTTTTGCCATCAAGCCTTTTAAACTCCTTTACGGCGCTCAGTGTTGCATCAGTTTTGTTTTTAAGGACCCCTCCGGGGCGCAGCCCGTTCCGCTCATCCTGCGGTGCCCCCGGGACCATCTGMGGGGCGCGACCGCCCGGGTGTCCCCGGGGCGAGGGCAGACCCACAGCGGGCACAGCCGGGGTGAGCTCCGCCGCCGCGACCCCGCGCTCCTGGGGTGCTCCCCGAGCTGCCCCAGCCCCGCAGCACCTGCCGCCGCCGCACCCTCCCGCCTGCCCCGCACAGCGCTGCGGCCGCTGCCGGGAGCCGCTCTCTGCCGTGCCCGGCTCGCCGGGACTCGGCGGGGCGCTGGCTCCACCGCAGGGGCAGCTCCGCGCTCAACCCAGCCGTGCCCCCCTCCACGCTGACGGGGGTTCCCGCGGGGCAGCTCCGCGCTCAAGCCACCCGTGCCGTCCACGCTGACGGGGGTTCCCGCTCGGCAGCGCCGGCGCCCCGTACCCGGAGCAGCTTACCCTCATCTTCGTGGCGGCGCGCTCGGCCGGCGGCGGCCCCGGGCCCCGCGGCTCTGACAGCTCTGCCCGCCCGCCCGCGCCGCTCCCGCCGCGCCTGACGTCACGGGCGGCGCGGCGCCCCGTTGGCTGCGCGGGAGCGGGGCCCGTTCAAACGGAGCCGCGCGGGGCGGGGGCGCTGTGGGGGGAGCGGGCCGAGCCCTCCGCTTTTGGCAGCGTTTGATCTGTCTGCTTGCTTTTGATTTTTTTGGTTGGTTCCCCCTCCATTATTTTTCTCCTCCCCCCACTCCCTGCGCGCCTCTTCCTCCCCGCTGTGCCCGTGCGCGGGTAGCGCTCCCGGCGGGGCTCCGCAATCGCGGCCGCCCAGCCCGCCCCGCTGATAATTGTTTCTATTCTTCTTTCGGCCGGACTTGTTTCTGTTTTCKAGTTGGCTGAGCCAGTCCGATAGCCCTGGCTGGTCGCAAGCCGTAGGGCTGTGCGGGACCAGCCCTGTGGTGTCACACACGGGCATCACGAGTGCCTGTGTAGGATCTGATATCCCATGGAAATGCTCYGGGGTGCATCCAACCGCCCCACAAAGTCCCTCACCTGTAACCAAGAGCGGCTGAGGGCTGCCGTCTTTTCACCCTTCCTCCACACAAACAAATCTTTCCCATCCTGTTTCTCGTCTTACCTGAACTGGGATGGCTTATTAGTTGCTATATCGTCTCCAGGCATTAACTAATTTTATTTTTGTCATTAAAATAATTTATTTAATTGCTGTATTTGAATAGGTAGCAGAAGCCCTCACTGGTTTCCATGGTGATTAATGTAAGAAAAGCCTTTTTGGAACTAGGCACGCCACCATGGGTAGGTGGGCACAGCAAATGAATTTGGGCACATTCACGTCCTCAGGAGTGTGAGGAATAGATTAGCGATTGCTCACAATTTGAGGACAAGCACTGTCATCCCTCCTAAACACACGTTAATTTCTAGAAGGATGTGCAGCTACTCATCATCTTTTACTGCTTGCCTGCTAAATTCTTTCTTGGTTTCCAAATTCTAATAGATCTGCTAGAGGGATTATTTTCCTCATTTAAAATGAGTTTTTTCTYTTAAACAACTTGAAAACTCACCTTTGTTTTTCCTCCCTGCCAAGCCTGCTTTGCTRTTCGTCTCAATCCTGTCTATTAGCTGTACTGCACAGCTTTTAGAGTGTGCAGGTCCTGTAGCAGACCTGATGCCTGTTGATGTTGAGGYTTTCCTCAGTTCTGCTGCCTTGGACACCAAGCAGGTTCCAGGGGGCAGTCCCAGATWGCAATCCAGTGGTCTGACCTGCTGCACTGCCCCGTTAGGACCTTACTGAGTAATGCCACACGAGGGTGAGGGACAAGTTTTGTTAAGTCTTGTTCAAACATCTTGAAGTTCTTTATAAAAAATAATTGAAAGCAGAAGGTAAGAATTTGTCGGCTATCACTGTATAACATGATAATATTTCTTTGTGAACACTGTGAATGTCTTTTAATACCTCATCTAGTATTTGTCGCTAAGAACAACACCAGCAAGCCTGCAAATAAGTATGCAAGAAAAACAGGTATTGGATTTCATGCTATTTCTGTGCTAATCTGTTTTCCCACCTTACTCAAACATTTGCTGAGGCTTGTAGAAGAATATGTCCATTAATCTTAGCAAAACATACATAGTTAATTGAGCTCTAGTCACAGATGCAATCTGTTGTAAAAACAACCCCTAATCTTTTTGTTTGTTTGGGSTTTTGTTRGTTTTACTGACATCAGAAACTARATCTGTCCTATCACTGGAAATAAGAAATGTAGGAATTAAGAAACATTCTAATGGAATTAAGGAAAACTATGCTAGCTAGGCATGCTCTCCTCTGAGACATGTCTCTATACTGTGTGTTTTTGTATATTCCTCCCTTCAGTAGCCCAGCGGAGTCTGTTTAGACTTTTTTGTATGTATATAAAAAAAAGGATGTAAAGCAACGTATGTATGTATATTTCTTGCTTACATATATACCTAGGTATGTGTATATAAGTGTTCAGGGGTGTGTTCGGATGCGAGTTCAGTGAAATGCCTTTTTTTTCCTTTCCTAGGATACATGGTACTTGGGTTTGGGGACACTGTCTTGTGCAGTCAGGTTGGAGAGGTAGTTTTTACACATCGGAGGAGCTGAAGGCATGAATTCAGCTCATACAGCATGTAACAGATGAATCATGTTATCATTTTATCTCATTTTGCCTTCTGTAAAGTGTGGATGATGACCTTTGGCTATCTATATTCTGAACGCTGAAATCTGTTGATACAGAATTCTCTAAGGAATAATTGTTTTTGGAGTTATGTAAGGTCTGTTCCTCAGCAAATTGCTAACGTTTTGAAGATGTTYTCATCAGGCACTGCCTCATGTTGCTGGTGGGTGGACCCTAGGGCAAGTTTAATCAGCAGAGCCTGTACTCACTCTCTAGCTTGCTTTTGAGGCAGCACTGCTGTGGTTCGTTTCAGCTGGCCAGAGCAGCATCTTGCTGCAGAGTGAGTCAGCAGCGCTCACACTGTGACTGTCTCAACCTTGAAGGTGCTTCAGCCTCTCTCACACTGGCTGACATCACCCTGACACACTCCGTTATTGTATCATTAATGACCTGGAGTGACACTT